CTGAAGATACTTGGGAATAGATGATTTCTCCTAACAATTTGATTTCATTCATGGGTGGCCAAGAACAAGAACAGAAAAATTACTAGATTCAAACTATCCAGCACAGCAGAAGAATGGTTACAGACTCTATTCACTCAGGACACTCTAATTTTTTCTTGTCACATCCAGAATTTATCACAGTGCCACATAAATAGTAGGCACTGAATAAATACTTGGATGAAAACAAAAAAAAAGATTAACAATTCCTGAAGAGCCTTCTAGTGTTCCTCCAACACAAGTACACATTGTAGATCTCCAAAAAAACACCATCAACAACAACCTCTTGAGAACTGACTGAGCTCCCTTTGCCCCACCTCAAGCCCTGAAATGACCTAATATTTTATCTTGGAATGTTCCACTATGTTTCCAAAAATTCCTAGTATGTAGTGGTGTGGTTTGGCTTACTTCTGTTTTCACAGAAAGCTTAGCTACATGACTCCACTGCCAAAGCTCCATTCTTAGCTCCCAGGTCAGATTTTTGCCGGTGAAAACACATCACCTTTGATTACCAAATTTGGGTAGTGATTCTTGGGCTTTTCTCCTTGACTATTCTAAGAACTCTCATCATCTGTGCTGGTTGCAAAGAGGAAACTCATTACGTTGGTCTGCAATAAGAGGAGACTTAAGGAGACTTAGCATGCCACAGACCATGTGAAGGTGAATCTCACCTCATATCAATTCCCACACCAAGGCATTTCAGCACCAGCAACACGGTTCAGCCAATGAACACACTTGCACTTGCTTTATAGGACCCACTGAAAATCCAGATGTGGGGGCTAAAGAGGTGGATCATCAGTTAAGAATGAGTACTGTTCTTGCAGAGGACCCTGGCTTGACAGCCATATCAGGTGGCTCACAATGGCTTGTAACTTCCATATCCAGGGGCATGTAATGCCTCTAGCTTCACATAATGTGTACTCGCGCGCGCGCATGTGCACGCGCACAAACACACAGAATTTAAAATAAAGCATTTTTAAAAAATACAGATTTGGTAGCATGCATCTGTACTTCCATCACGTATGGGAGTCAGGGGTAAGCAGGTGAATCTGCTGGAGGCTTAAGGCCGATTAGCCTAAAATACAGCATCCTTGTCTCAATAAGGTAGAAGGTGAGAACTGGCTCCCAAAAGTTGTCCTGATGCTCTGACCCCTGCACATGTTCTGAGGTTACATTTGCAAGTACACAAAAACAAATAAGGAATTTTTTTTTTAAAAGAATGAATGCTGATTTCAAACAAAGCAAATTGCAGGTGAGGCCAATTCTTTGCATACTGAAATGTTTCAATAAGCATCCATTAAATATTGGCCTGTGGACGAAATGCAGTTCACATAACATTTACCTTTTTGGGGACACATGTTCTGTGCAAATATTTTTGAGACAACCATGAAACAGGCAAAGAAACCCACTGTTGCCCCATGTTTTATGAGTGTCTCAGGGGGTCTGGAGCCAGAAGGACCCAACCCCTTTTTCAGGCCCTGGAGGCCAAGGAAAATCTAAAGATTCTCCTTGCTTGCAAGCCTTCCACTGCTTGCTCCATAGCCAGTCAAAGCCAGAGATGAGAGATGGATCATGCTGTGCTAACACAGAAAGAGTATTTAAACTCATAGTAGATTGGCAAATACCTTCATCCTAGCTAGCTTCAAATGATGTGTAACAAATAGTAAAGTAATGACACTGAGATGGTCATTGTCCACATTAAAAAAATAACACACAAGGACACTGAAAAATACAGTAGGATTAACAAAAAAGGTAAGTTTGTCCATGCCATGCTCCATGAATTACAGTGGTATTATTTGCCAAAGAACTATTGTAAATTGAAAATAGCATGTATCTGAAGTGTATTTAGTACCCCCAACTTACCAAGCAAACTAGCTTAGCTATGCAATGCACTGTCGAGTGTCAGTTCTTTATCCTAATATCAGGGGGCTGACCGGGAGCTGAGGTCCCTGCTACTGCCCACTGTCAGGAGCAAAGATGGACATATATGTGGCTGTCCCAACAACAAAGCCAAATCTAAAGTTCCAGTATGCTTTGACACCATTGTAAGTCAAAAAGTTATACATCAAGCTGTTGTAAGTCAAGGACTGTCTCTATATAAGAAATCAGATAGGAATGTCACAGTGGGGGAACAATGACTACATTCATAATGAGTACTTCATAATGAGTATGACAATGGAGGACATCCCTGTGACTCTACCTTTCCAACAGCGGAGGAGGAAAAGGAAAATGATTACTTATAGTATTGATTATCTTCCTAAAGTATTTGCTTGTTTGTCGTTCAGCTGTTAATGATTAGGAAAGCATACCAGACAACTACCTAGAAAGACATGTCCTTTAGGCCCTCTTAAAGATGGTGCTGGCACACAAGACATGAACAACTTCAGGCCAGACAAAACCCCAGTACTGAGAGGGAAGTAAGCATGAAGTACCACCCCTAACAATCAACGATCAAGCTATTCTCAAGTGATGGTTGCTGAGAGAAGAAAACCACACTTTCTCCAATGGCGTGTCATTGGGTGTGTCAACCACAGTCCAGGGCAGGCCCCACATTTTTATTTTTATTGTTGTAGTGTTTGTTTTTGTGGTGTGTGTGTGTGTGTGTGTGTGTGTGTGTGTGTGTGTGTGTGTATACCTGTGTTCACTGAAGCCATAAAAAGCCACTGGATCCCGGGAGCTGACATCACAAGAAGTTGTGAGCCACTCATGTGGGTCCTGAGAACTGAACTCCAGACCTCTGGAAGAACAGGCTACACTCTTATCTACTAAGTCATCTCTCGAGTCCCAGAATGTATATTATACTTTAGCAAACCCCCAGGTGATATTGATGCTACATCTGACAACTGCTGATGCCTATACAGCCAGATTCTCAGGTCCTCTTCCTAAAGAATCTTTCCATATATGTGGATATCACAGCTGAAGTTAAACAGCTCTACCGAATTAACATGATGAAACCCAGATGAGTTTCTTCTGTAAGTTTAGTTCATAGTGACAGGTACCAATATCAAGGCTTGGTGGACACTGTCCCTTCAGTCCAGGCTCACTTATTTATTCATCCCGTTCCTCAGTCAACATACAGATTTCTTCCTCACTCTTCAAGCTCCCTCTGCATTTCAGTCCTGAAGGAACTCTGCCTGATTGAGCCCAATTATCCTTCACCAATCATCAAAAAAACATTGTTTCGTTCAAGTCAGCCTTTCAACCATGGGAAACACTGTTTATATGTCCTCCTTTTGTTATTCACTCATTATTCATCTTTATGAGACCAGAATACTTGGTACTTTCAACCACAGTTCAAAGCCCATGAGTCATGTCTAATGCGTCTTTGTACGTTAAATGCATGTGGTACTTTGTACAGAATGAATGCTGGATGTTTTAGTGCTAAACATGATGCTTAAGAAGGAAAAAACAAGGACTCAATGAAATGACAACTGATATCAACAGAACTTTCCCTTTGCCATCACAACATATTCTCTTTATTATAAAGTTGTGCTGGATTAGATGAACTATATTTTATTGAGGGGAAAAGTGTGTTTGTGTGTGTGTGTGTGTGTGTGTGTGTGTGTGTGTGTGTGTGTGTGTGTGTGTTCTGTATTATATTGTTATATGGTTATAGTAAGTAGGAAAATAAAGGGTAGTTTCTTAGGCTCATAGCACAAAACAGAGAACAGACACATAAACAATGTAGGCTTCACATAGTGTCCTAAAGGTACAGGCAGAGCACACTGAAGTGTTAGCTCAGGGATAACAGTAGTGAGCTTAGAAAGTTCACAGTGATGGGGTGGCACAAGCCATATTGGGGTGGAGTTGCTAGAATAAGGCTCCTGCTGTTGGAAATTGGCCTCCCTTAGGTGAAAATAAGCAAATGAATGCATTAATTGGTGTTCTACAGTGAGAAGGGAAAGGGTGAGAATCGGAGAGCTGATCTGATGTACTCAGAACTATGCTTTGAAAAGAACAGGAAAACAGCATCTCTGGCCAGATTCTCTGACTCCCTTGCCCTCTTTCCAAACATCTTAATGGCTCTGGTATTCCCAACACCTTAGGTAAAATGCCTTTTGTCCTGAGACAGTCTCTCACCCTCAGCAAGACAATTGACATTTTGGACTGGATAATATTCCTTGTGAGAGCCATCTAGTGCACTTCTGACATTGTCTTATACATTTCTGATATTTAGCAGGGCCCCTGATGTCTGCTCAGAATCTAGTATCAGCCCCAATCGCCAACTATAATAACAAAAAAAAGAATGTCTCTAGCCATCACCAAATTGTCTTGGAAGAAACAAAACCACCATCTGCCCCATCTTTGATGATCATTTTTCTAGGAAACATCCTCTTTAGGATGTTACTCTCTGCAGTTCTAGTGTGTGACATAAGAACCACATTCCTTTCTCCCCTGTCCCACCTGCGGAATTAGAGTGATGTTCCCCCAGCCGATTTTATCAACCCTACCAGATCTAGCTGTCAATGGGATGAAAAGTGTTGTAGACCTATCATTTCCAACTGAGTATCAACAGTCATGGGATCATCATGAGAGGTCCTGAGAGGGGAGAGGAAGAGGCACTTGATTTATAATTTATTGATTAATCAATTACATAATGCCTTTGAGAAAATGATCAGCATAATCCAGTGCCTCAAAACCAAAACAATCATAAAAAAAATGTTGAAAATTCTCATTCCCGCCCTGTGTCGTCCATTGTACCTCATCTCACTAGAAATAAATATTTTATGAGCATATTTGGGATCTTCCCAGAATTCCTTTATGATAACAGAAGAACATGCAAATTCATGTTCCAATTTCCCATTTTTTTTATATGAAAGATACTGTGCTATCCATTTTCTTTTGCTGGTTTTCCTCTATTTAACCTTTTGGAGACTTTACTCAGGATGATTTCTGGTCGCTTCTTTGTGTACGTACCTTGTTGCTTGCCACAGCAGGACCATGCACTGTGGCCTAGCCAGTCTTCTCCTGGTAAACCCTTGTTTCCCGCCCGGGCTGCAGTGATAGTCCTTGGTCAGGAACTATTTTACATCTCTGTTCACTGTCCCGTCTGATGTTTACATCAACCTTATACAATAAGGCAGTGAAATGCTCATCACCTACTATTCAAACTGGATGCCTTTTATGTATACATGGCAACAAAATACCCCATATGTTGTAGATACACCCCTGACCATTTTAAGCATACAGTTCAGTATTAAATACCCTTACATAATTGTGGTCTTCCATAAAACTTTTATCTTTTAGAATTGAAACTCAACCCATTAAGTGAAAGCTCCCTCTTCCCCTCTCCTCTGAGTCCCTAATAACCACCTTGCTTTTGCTCATTTCTATGATTTTGATGATATTAGATGCTCCTGTAAATAGAATAACACAGGATTTGTGTGTGTGTGTGTGTGTGTGTGTGTGTGTGTGTGTCTGGTTTATCTCACTTAGCATAATACCCCATAGCTGGCCTTTTTTTATACTTCCAGTTCCTAAATAATGGCATGGAGACTTCTTATTAATTATGAATGCTTGACTTAGCTTAGGCTTGCTTCCAACTAGCTCTTATAACTTAAGCTAAGCCATTTCTATTAATCTATGATCTGCCACTTGGCTCTTTACTTCTCCATTCTGTACATCAGATTCCCTCTGTGTCTGGCTGGTGAATCCTCCACAACTCAGACTCTTCCCAAGTTCCTCTCTCTCCCTGGAAGTCTCACCCAATCTCTCCTGCCTAGGTATTGGCCATTCAGCTCTTTATTAAACCAATCATAAGGCACCGTGGCAAAGACACATCTTAACAGTGTACAAAAAGATGATCCCACAACAATACCCCCAAGATTCAACCATTTTGTATTCTGTGATAAAACTTCCTTCTTTCTAAGGTAGCATTGCATATCATTATACATCTGTACTGTAATTTGCTTGTCTAGTTGTCTATCAATGCACATCTGACTTGTTTGCACATCTCTTCTCCTGTGGGATGTCGTTCTGTATGCTGTGAATATGTGTTGCTCTGACTGGTTGATAGATAAAGCTGTGTTGACCTATGGCAAGGCAGCTTAGAGGCAGGTAGGAAATCCAAGTAGATATATGGAGAGAAGAAAGGAGAGGAGGGAGAGATGCCAGCTGCTACCTCAGATTGAACAGCAAGATGCCAGCAGACCAGTAATGCCATGGCCATGTGGCAACTTATAGATTAGTAGAAATGGGTTAAGTTATAAGAGCTAGGTAGCAAGAATCCTGCCATAGGCCATGCAATTGGTAATTAATATTAAGCCTCTGAATGATTATTTTATAAGTGGCTAAGGGGCCCTGGGGCCGGGCAGGACTGGAGAAACATTCTGCTACACTCTTCCACCAGGTGTGACTGTGAGTTTCCTTCAGGCTATATATTCAGAAGCAGGATTGCTAGGTCACATGCTAATTCTACTTTCAATTTCCCTATTTTTGAAAAGTTATATATTTTATGTGGAGGACAGAGGATAACTTTTGGATGCCAATTCCTTCTACCACATGGGTTCCAGGGACTGTATTCAGTCTGTCAGATCCTTATCCTCTGAGGCATCTCAAAGGCCTTCATTTTTAATGTATTAAGGATGTTTTCCATTGCAACTCTCCCATTTTAAATTGTCTCTAGTGATGTTTCATGGTCCAACTTGGTTATTCAATACTATGATGCCGGTACATTGTAGCCTCACAGATCATACCAGATACAGCTTGAGATAACCTCTAGTCTTGGTGCAGTACACTGCCCTGAATTGTATTTTTGTGCTAAAATTCTGAAGGAAACTCACATAGCAAACCTGACTTCCTGTCACCGCTAAGTTTGACTATCTCTGTTTAAAGCCATAGCGATCATTTGTTTGTAGGTTTTATATCCTTTGAGTCTATTATTCTCCCTCTTGTTCCTCAAACTTGAGCACACTCTTCGCCAATACTACCACTGTTCTTGATCTTCTTGTAATACCAGAAGCTGATTGAGTCAGTTCATGGCCTGTTGTTCATGACAAGTTCTGTTCTCACTCCACTATTCATAAATCAACTGAAGTTTTAATCTTGGAGAGAGAGAGAGATAGGGAGAGAGAGAGAGAGAGAGAGAGAGAGAGAGAGAGAGAGAGAGAGAGAGAGATGCACCCAGGCTTGGGGGAAGAATCCAAAACAGCTAGCACAGTAACCCAGCTACATGTGTTTACTGACCCCACAAGCTGTGATCTCTGGGCCAGGCACGTGGAGCCAGAGGAAGGACTAACTTTTGGCTGTATTGTTAGGTTTTTCCACCAAAGAATTATTGCAGGAAGACAGGTCACAAAGTCAGGGCATATATTATTGAGCAGGGAATACCACCAGAGGCAAAACAAACGGCAGCAGCAACAAAGGAAAGTCTGAGCCGCTCTCCCTCACAGGGCTCAGCGATGTGAGCGGCTGGAGGCTGGTTCAATAATGATAGCTTCGCCGGAGGACAGGGTTCCCGAGAACTGTCTCTGTGATCCAATTTCTTCTCGCGTCTACTTGGTCAGACAGTGAAGAAAAGGAAGGTCACTGCTATTGGGAAGGATGTAGATGAATGTTGTCCAGCCAAACTAACACTGTGCAAATTTACACACACCTCAGGTCAGCTTTCAAAGGGATTTTATGTTGCGCATTGTCAAAGAATGTGGGCTAACTCTAACGTAAGGTTTTCTGACAACACTGGTGTGAAGGGGCGGCTTTCACACAGGAATGAAATGGCCGAGCGCCACTTAGTTCTAATCCTAGAAAACTGTATCCATTCAAACACTAGTATTTCAATGTGAATAAAGAATCTGAAAGAAATAACAAGCGATATTTGGGGGGCTGGAGAGGTGGCTCAGCAGTTAAGAGCACTGGGTGCTTTTGCCTAAGACCCATGTCCCACCCCTCAAACTCATGACCGTGTGTGGCTCCAGTTTCAGGGACCTTTGCTAGTCTCCACAGGCACCAAACATACATGTGATGTACACGTGTACTTGTAGCCAAACACTCATATCCATAAAAATAAATTTTTTAAGAAAAATAAAAAAAATGATATTGAGAGAAAGAAAAGACATTGCTTACCCATCTTTGAGTATTTTAGAAAGCTTCCTATGTTTAAGAGCCTACGGATGATCAAGTGAACCAGTCAGACAAGGAAGGTGACCTCAAAAAGCTTCTATTTTAATGGGAAAAAAACATTTAAATGAACAAACAAAAAGTTAATAATAATAATATTTAAGAAAATATTGATTGTTGTAAAATATTGAATGTGAGTGCTAGAAGAATAATTTTAGTATCAAAACACTGGGCTGTGAGTGTAGCTCACTAGTACAGCACTTGATTAGTATTCATGAGTTCCTGGGAAACCTTTCAAAGAAATAAAGTAAATAAAACAAAAAGTACTACCTATAAAAACCAATGTGGCATGCAAAAAATAATCAATTCATAGAAAGAGAGAACTCAAACTTCCATATGAGGAAATATTTGAAGCTAAATTTAAAATTGTAAACATTCAATTCAGAAATTAAAAAAAAAACAGTAGAAAATGTAAAAAATGAAATTATAATGCCAAAATTGAAATTGATAAAACTGGAGGTAAAAATGAAATGTATTAATCAAGTTAAAAAATTTTACTCTGCAAATACTAATAAAATTGACGGCACCCTACCAGAACTGATAACAAAAGTCAGATGTTTTAAAATTTTGTTTTTGTATACTATCAGTTTTGAAGTGTAAATGTATATGAATCTGAGTGAGTTTATGTGTACCACATGCATGCAAGAACCCATGGCAGGGAGAAGATGGTATCAGTTCCTCTGGAATTAGAGTTACAGGCAGTTGTAAGTAACCAGCAATGGGTTCTGGGAAATGAAGCCAGGTCTTCTACAAGAGCAATAAGTGCACTTAACTGCTAAGCAATCTCACTAACCCCAGAACATAGTTTAAAAAATATATAATGCATCAAAACCAATTCAAGAAAGCCTAAAATAAAAAATATCCACTAAAAATAGTAAATCCATTACTTAAAATTATGAGGCAAACAGATGAAAACCCACTAAATACATCAGCATCAATCATTATAAACCCACAGTCATAGATGATTAGAAGTACCCTAGATTAGGGGTTAGCAAATGGTTTCTGTAAGAACCAAAGGATAGTTTAGGCTTTACAGGTTATATAAAATTTTATCTGTGTACATTTTGGTTTTGTTTTTATTTTTATAGCCATTTAATAATGTGAACACCATTTTTAGCTCATGAGTTATACAAATACAGGCTGTGGATTCATCCTGCAAGCTCTGGTTTGCCAAGACTGCTCTGGCCCAATAATTTTGGAAAGATTCCCAGAAACTCATCAAAGAAGTTTCTAAAGAAATGAGCGCACCAGGAAAGGGGAAGAAGGGGGACACAGGTGACACGCAATGGAACCTGGGCAAGGAATGAAAAGAATTCTCATGGTGGAAGACACTCATGCAGCAGGCCTGGAGGGCAGCCCTCCCAGACGGGAAGGGAAGAGAAAGGTTCTGAAAGAGCTGACTTCAAGAAAATGATGAAACTGAGAGATATACCTGCACTTGGCTATAGGAAAAAAAGTGTTTGACTTATATATTGATGGGTTTGAAAATATCTTCATGATTCAAAGTATCTGCATGAAGACCAAACAAGTAAAATTTTAAAAAAGGCAATGGATGATTCCAGGGAAAAGAAAACAAACACATAGTTTTCAACGTGAGTCAATTACTAATAATTAGAGCAAGAATGGGGAAAGTGTATAAGAATATTTAACTCATTTTCAACGCAAAGAAACATTTTTAAAATCAAGAAATCATTGTCTATCACATTATTTAAAGCATGATCTGATGTATGAGAATGTTTTCTGATTGTATATTTCTACTCATTAGTATTTTGTTAATGTCATCACAGCAATGGCAAAATATGTCTGGCTTTAGAAGAGACAGTAATCTACTTTTGAGACCCTAGCAATGAATTCATTAACATTCTGCACAGGATACATAAATATAGTTTTAAAGTCATGCAGTTTTGGTTTGTGACAATGCTATTCTTCTTGTCATAGTTTGTATCTGGATGTTCCAAATATCTTCCCATTAAGAGGACTGTGTTCCAGAGGACTCGGATAGTGAGTGCTCTACCATCATCTCTCCATCTTGAAAGTGGATTTCTTTTCAAATTCTTGATGCATAGTTGAAAAATAATAGCAACCTAGAGATCTTTGTCTCCTATTTCCTCAGTGTTTAGCTGCATAAACATGATCTTAACTGCCTCCTACTACAAAGAATCGCTATAATTATTGAAACCTACAAACTATGGAAGGAAGTGATTCCATCACACACATTTATCACATTATTAGTAACTCTTTACTCAATGATCTTTAAGTTAAGAGCAATTCATTTTCCATCCTCAGAAAACATTAGTTAGGAAAATAACGTGTCTTCAAACTTCCCATAGCTCTCTCCGAAACCATGTTCACCATGACCTGAACTATTGATTTCTTATTTCCCTAACATGCTAAAGAATTGCTGTCACTTTCTTCTTTTCCTATGTTTCTTAGCTGTTTATGAATTTATGTGTACTTAATATCATTTATTATATACATATACCTACAGAGAAATATGTTTCAAATACTATGAAGTTATATGTTTTTGTTTAATTTTACAACTACATGGTGTACTTACTTCTTCATGCTCATCCAGTTCCCAGAGCTGCCAATCATCTTGGAGTGCGCTGAGGCGTTGGCTGCTTGGAGTCCCATGCACTTACTGCTTTGCCTATTGACACATCTCACTCCCTAAAAGGACACTTGCAGTGTCAACCACAGATACATGTTGGAATTGATAAGATACAAATAAATTCAATACATGAAATCAAAACTGCAAAATAACCTGGGGAAAAAGAGATTATGACACATAGCAGAGGTATACTCTATTCAGGAGATAGTGCCTGCTAACCAAACTTCAAGGAATATTAACTTATGGATGCTGGATGTTTGGATTATACAATGGCAAACAGTAATCTAGCACATAACAATTCCTTTGAGTTTAATCACTCTTGTCTAGACTTATCAAACCCATAGAATCTTAATCCCATGCCAGAATTGGCATTTAAAATTTCTACCGGTATGAGAATCCTTTCATTCTACTTTTATGTATTTTTATAAATGTTAATAATATATAAATGATAAAGGGAAATGGAGCTGCTGATTGGAAACAATCATTTCTGGGGTGTATATTCTTATTGGCCCATTTCACAACAGATTGAGGTCATGAGTTTGTGTGGAATCTCAGCACAGCCCTGTGACTGTAACATGGTGGACAAAGTCAAGAAGATTCTTCCTGAGTTACGAAGGCATTCCACACTTTTCTCAATTCTCAGTGGGAGGGAGAACAAAACAACATGCTTATTGCCTTCTATAGGAATTTGGGTGGAATCAAGGGCTGAATATTAATTGTGTTTTTACAGGAAGAGCTACACCAGGAAGCTTTTCTAACTGGAGAAAAAAAAAAGATAGGAATGAAAATAGGCAATGTGCTTCAGAAAAAAAACCCAAAACCAAGAGTTCTGCAAGTGACTCACCTGGAAGTCACATCAGGAATGTCTGCTTGTACCAGATGGCTGCTTTGCAAAGCAGACAGGATGCTTGAGATCCGGGTTGAGGGAATGAGTCTCTTCTTCAGACCAGACCCTCGCTTAATCTTCTTGAGCTTTAGACCAATCCAGATGGAGCCACTTTCTGGAGGCCTTAGAGATGGCTGTGTTCTGGGCTTCTCTGCTGACTACTCAGAGTTCTTGTTTTAATCCTCTTCTCTGTATCTTGAACAGTAAAAGCCACTCTGCCTGCCTCGGTAGCCTATTTCTAGGAGAACACATCTGTGTCTGGTGATTCAATTTCTACACATATATGCACTTTAATGTAATGATACCATACTGTCTCTCATTTTCCTATTATCATGCATTTGCCTTACAAGGCTACAGATTTGGGGTATAACACCAATTCCTGGCAAGAAGTCAGTATGTGTTCAAGGCAAACAATGGTTCTGTGAGTAAGTCTGAGAAATTGTGGACACTCTTATCACTTACTTAAATAATTCTGTGTGTGTAATTATAGTAACAATTCCGAGAAGTCCCTTGATGAAGAACTCTGCTTAACTGTGTTTAACTAAATGTTTCCTAAACAAATTTACCTAAGGCTCACTTTGTTTTATTTCTCGTGGTGAATTCATATTTCAAAGAGCTCCAGTGTTGCAAAGAGCATGGTCTAAAGAAAACTCTCCAAGAAAGGAACACATCCTTTAGTTCAGCTCTATTTGATACCAACAAAGAGTTGGTTGAGAAAAAACACACGTTCTCTCTGGAAAAAAAAGTTCATGGAATTTCCTCTGTACATGCCTGTTGGTGCCACAAATAGTTAAGCCATGGATAAGAACCTGTAACTACAGGGAAAAGAAAATAGTTTTTATTCTATTCTGTTTCCATCTCGCCCACTCGCTGAGTTTCCTATGCTTCTTGTAGAGTATATTTGCTTTGTTACAAATGTAGAAAACACTTCTTCACAGGAATCTCAGCTGTATTGACATACTGTGTATCAAATAAAGCTTGCCTGAGGAGCAGAGGACAGAGCCAGCCACTAGAGGAAACTTCTCACCTCACCTCCTCTATGAATTCTCTGACTGAAAGCCTCTGAGTCCTCAGCCAAAAGGGCATTCTAACCAAAAGGCCTCTAGCCGAAAGGCCTCCAGCCAAAATAGGGCCTCTAGTTCCTGTCTCCTCACTCTTATATACCTTTCTCTACCCAGCCATACCATTTCCTTCCTAGTGTTGAAATTAAAGGTGCATGACTCCCAAGTATTGGGATTAAAGGTGTGTGCCACCACTGCCTGGCTCTGTTTCTCTCCTAGACTGAATGAGTCTCATGTAGTTCAGGGTGGCTTTGAACTCATAGAGATACAGATGGATCTCTGCCTCCCGAGTGCTAAGATTAAAGGTGTGTGCCAACACTGCTTGTTTAATATAGTAGCTGGCTCAGAGGCTTTCAGTCAGAGAATTCTTGAAGTTGGGGAGGTGGGAAGTTTTTGTTAGTAGCTTGTTCCTTTGTCTCTCTGATCTCTCAGCATTTACCCCAATATCTGGCTCCACGTTTTTTATTAAAGACCATTTAGGAATTCGTGCAATACTCAGCAATGCCTTGCTGCTTATTGCTGAGTCTTTTCATCTTGGTGACTTGTCTGTGTCCCATCTGCAAGATCAGCATTCTGGGATGCTTGGGAGATAGTGAGAAAGATACACTACCCTCTCTCTTTTCGTCGTCTTTTTCTTTATCCTCACCAATGCTCTGTTGTAATCAATAACCTGAGAATTCAGTTCCTACCTTCCAATGAATTCACTGCTTTACTCCATCAACACATCAAGTCTTGCATATGTTAAACCAAACTCCAGTGACTTCGCATAGTTAGATCAATATTCCTCTCATTCTGTCCTCATACTTGTGGGAAAGTTTTTTCCTCCTTTTATTTGTACCTCCTGCTTATGATTCAGTCCTCTGTATTTCATTTCTTTCTTCCCCAGTGCCTGCTAACTACTGTCCTAAGAACGCTAAAAACCATGTGTCCATTGGCATCTTGCTCGATGTCCTGCTGCAATTCCCATCATCTGGAGCCTTCATGAACTCTACCCTCTCATAGTTTCAGCCACAGTAAGTGGACTTGGCTCTTCCCATTCTTCGTCAATATATGACATTCTCTGTGTCCACCTATCCCAACTTGGGAGTCCAGGTTGCTTACCCTTCAAGTTCTACCTGTTCTTTCCGGGGAATTTGTCTATTCTCAGATATTAATCCTTTGCTGACTGACTGCTAATTCAGAATTATCAGCAGCCAGCTTGAGTATCTCTTGTCTCAGACTTATCAAGACAATTTTCCCAACACCTTTATTTTCATGCCTTTCAAGACTGTTCCTCTGTGCTGGTTTTGTCACATAAACAGAGACTGTGAAGTGTGTCCTTGGAGTCCAGAGGCAAAAGGTAGATAGGATCATTGAAGTTAAGACAAGCTGGCTAAAAATAAGCCAAGCTAAGGTTGGGCATTCATAAGTAATAAGAAGTCTCCCTGTGTATTTATTTGGGAGCTGGGTAGCAGGCCTCCCAAAGAGCCAACGAGTAAAAACAAGCAACTACACTTGGTCCCAAATACGTATTTATTCGTGTATGCATTCAGCAATACTTGTTGACTTCTGGATGTGCCTCAGATACTGGGCTAAACATAGAGCTGGCAAAAGGGAAATAAAGCACATACATCCTCATCCCATTTAGAGCAAGGTTTTCTACAATGAAAGCTCTGTTGCTCCAATGAAATCCCAAGTAAATTTGAACTTCATTTATGCTTCTAGTGAATACTATCAGTGGATTCAGAAGGAGGATGATCATCTCTTGATAGTTCAGATTATAATAAGTGAAGCACTCTGTTAGAGGGTGGTACTGAAGCTGTAAAAAGAAACCACCATAGAGTGGAGGAAAGAGCAGCAGGCTGTGTTGGAGGATGTGAAAGATTACCACGTGGACAGGGAAGAATGATTTGACTTGATGTTGGCAAACAGACAGATGCCAGGGCACTGAGCCTTATAAGTGAAGTCATTGTAACTTGTGGTATAACCTGGGATGCTTTGGGGATGCAGGATGTCTCCACAGAGCAATGAGCCAACCACATAACAGAGCTGTCTTCAGCAAATTAGTGAAGATGATCACACTACTTAAAAGCCACTTTAAAATGAAAGGCTTTATCTCAAGTGAAGCAAGAAGCTCTTAACGTGTTTCAGACAATCTGGTTGGAAACAAGAGCCTAAACCTAAAGACGAGAAGGCCCTTTAAGGAATTGCTGCAGCAATCTGAGTGTAGGTAATGACTTAGTCTAGCATGAGAAGAAAACGATCTGAGACCCATTAGAAGTGAAATGAAAAGGATTCGCTGGTGAATTGGCACTGAGGCAAAGGTCGGCAGAGAGCAGTTCTGTGCCTGGTAGCTGAGCAACTGGAAGGAAGGTAAATTCTTGCTGAGATGATCTGTAAGGTGGGGGAGTAGGACAGAAATCAAGTGCCCTGGGTACTCCACATACAACGCCTATGAGACTTTCAAGTGGAGCCAGATATAACTGGCCTTAAATGTCCAGGTAGGAACTCTGAGGAGATGGCTGACTGAAATTATATTGATGTTAGTTATCACCATATACAGAGAACAAAAGTAAAACAAAGTATTTCCTTTGCCTTTCTTCCATTGATGATTGTTGGTATGATACCCCCTCCTAAACACACACACACACACACACACACACACACACACACACACACACACACGCACACACGCACACACACGTGCAGTTATTTCTATTAGCTCCACAGGAAAGGGTTTATAAGGTAAGAATACAATTGGTGAAACGGTGCCTTCATATTTTGTTTTCCACAGTCTCTGGAACATGGAAGACCCGAACTTTTCTTTTCTTTTCTTTTCTTTTCTTTTCTTTTCTTTTCTTTTCTTTTCTTTTCTTTTCTTTTCTTTCCTTTCCTGTTCTGTTCTTTGCTCTCTCTCTCTCTCTCTCTCTCTCTCTCTCTCTCTCTCTCTCTCTCTCTCTCTCTCTTTTAGAGGTTACCAGATTAAAAAAAAGCCTACCACCCTCCTTCAGCATTATTGCATTAATTATGGGTGGTTCTATCCCTACCCACTTTTATTTTAGGCTTGCAGCTACAGCTTCGGTCATTAATCTTTGTACTTCTAAATGTGTGTGTGAACTCATGCCTGTGGAATTCTCTAAGTGATTTAGCAATTTTAAGAATTGTGAAGAATATTTTAGTCATCTCCCAAAGCTTCTTCAACCAGAACATGCAACACAAGAGTGAAATAAAGTGATTTGCTGCAAGGTCTTAGCCTTGACCAGCTATTACTTTGAAATTTGAGGGCAAGGGTGTAACGAGTCTTTTTTTGTCCCACCAGCCAGCTCCCAAATAATGAAACTTATTATTGATTATGAAGGCTTGGCCTATAGCTTGGGCTTGTTCCTAACTAGCTCTTATAACTTAAATTAACCCATTTTTAATCTATATTCTATCATGTGGCATTACCTCTCTTCCATCTTGCACCTCCTGTTTCCTCTCCCTGTCTTCTCGCATCTTTCTCACGAGCCTAAATTAATTTTCCTCATCCTGTCTCTCCACTGGAAATCCAGGCTATACCTCATGCCTAGCTATTGGCCATTCAGCTTTTTATTACACCAACCACAGCAATATACCTTCACACAGTGTACAAATATCCCACAACACGGGGGCTTGTGGAAGCCAATGTATTTGAACACATGCCATTACATCATTTATATATTGGTTTCCATGTGTTACCAGACTCCTAAAATAACATATACTATAACAAGTTTCCCCTAGCCCTTAAAGATTTTGATAAGAATAATATGTTAATTCTGGTTAAGTAAATCTGTCTATCAAATTTGTATGTATATGAATATGTGTATAGTTGTACATAGACAGTGTATATATGTTGATATATTTATATATATGATCATGTCCTGCCTAGTTATGTTTTGATCAATGATCAATACATATGCCATGTACTCCCAAAAGATTATATTGTGAGTGGAATGTCAGCTAATGTTCATACAACGAATCTCAAAATATATCAAACTATTAAGTAATAAGTGATTGTATGTGCATGAGGAGACAAGTATGATAAGTACATGTGTATCTAACTGTGTGTACATATGTGTACACATCACAAGTATGAATGTGTTTTTAAAATATTACATGTTTATTCTATGCATTTTATAATATGCCAGACTTTTATGCCATGTGAATGTACATATGTTTT